GCTTAGGAACCTGCCATGAAAATTATAGAAGGCAGAAAACAAAACGTTAAACATTGTGATTTCAACTACAGCCATAGCTTAACTGGGTTCTATGCCGATTTGCGCTCCCCAGATCAACCCCGCTGACGGGTGATTGCTGTGGCAAAAAGATCGATAGAAATAGCTGAGAGACGTGCGAAACAAAGGACCCGCATGGTGTGGTGGTGAACGCGTTACTCCCCGGAAAGGATAATAGCGCGTTCGTTCCCCACCATAGACACCTGCGGTCCAGAGTTTTGCAAATATCTCAGCAACGTTGAAGTCACAAGGTTCTTCTATGCTTAGCAAATCTCGAACGACTAAAGTGACGATCTGTACTTACAATGCACGCTCACATCCATCTGAGTCATCGATCACACAAGCAAGAGGGATAACCGTTAGCGAGGTGCTTCTTCGTGATAACGAGCGCACACCAGTAAAACCACCCACGCGATGGTCAAAGTCCTTCATTAAAAGCCTAGAAGAAGGATATGATCCTTAACGAGTCCCCAGAGCGAGCTCAACCCACTGGGTTACTTTACATGCGACAAGGAGAAATGGAAGATTTACCGGCGCTTGTTCGAGTCACTGAACGACCAACAGGACTATATATGACATACGATAGCTAATACAACTTCTTGCACATAAAATTTCTGGGATTTGTGGACAAGGAAGTGATCTAAACGAATTGTGCATGTATAGAGAAAGTTAAACTCGTATCATTTTAATTTTTCTGTAGAAACCTGAAAAAATGATAATGAAAGAGTGGAGATCTGGTGAATGAGGTTGATGAACTAAAACATTCCAGTTAACGTCTAGTTTTTGCCGAAACAAGCACACTTCGCCACAAATACGCGAGTAGTCGGGCACTGTCGCTACGAAATACCCATTTCGAGATTGTTCGCTTACAACCAAAGTAAAGGCTCCGAGTGGAACAGCCATTCAGAACGTTGTGGATTGCCGAGGTCAAAGTTTGCTTCACGAAAACCTCACCATTTTCCATACATGGAATCTTAAATCATATCGTTTCCGCATGCTGTGCACGTCTACTTCGCTGTCTTTCCGAAAATGAAGAGCATAGTCTGAAGTTTTGCAAATATCGCAGCAGCGTAGTGGTTTTAAAGTCATTGATCAGTCCCTGAGGGATACGCCATGCATTCGACTTCATTAAGCAACGTTTCGAGGTCATTGAATGCATATCTGGTCTTCACAATGAGTTGCGGTGGCCTACCGGTGTGTCGAGCCAGTGCTGCTATCCTCCCAGACAAGTCTGGTACCAATTTGCTGACCCCGGAGAGATGGAAGGCTTGGTGGGCCATGGACGCGGGGATCAATTCCACGTGTGTGTTGCACGGCACCTCCGACCACTCTGCCACACGCGCCCTTCACTTAAAGAGCATAGTATTTGAAAACCTCTTTTTACTTTTCTTTATTGATAAGCCTGCACGAGTTTGTCATAAATCTGTTTCTTCTGGCTAACGTTTTAACCGTATTGCTTCCTTCAGAGTCGCAGTGATTCGAGCTGAGTGCACACAGCAGTTGCGTCTTCTGATGGATATTCGTAGTGTCGCACCGAGACCGGTCGACTGGGTAGGAACACCGTACGAACTCAGCAGTGTCACTTTGTACTATACGTTTACTGGCGATGGTATGACGTGACCTCATCTGGTCAAGGTCCTTCCTATACATGACGGTTCTTGATCGGCGGCCCATTTTGTTTTTCATGATGAAAGCCCGTTCCGTACTAGTCGGAATTTGATTAGCTGCCACGCAGCCAAGAAATGTTTTGAAAACTGGCCTTCCTTTAAATTCGAAAAAGATAAACCATTGTCGAAGATATCGCTCTTTAATTTCTTCTCTCTTAGGACTTCTGCTAGATGCAAGAAACGTTGTGAAACGCACTGTTTTCTTTTGCAGTTTTTTTCTAAGTAAGGCCACTTATTTAATACATAAATAAGTATCATGTGCCAAATGTAGGGGCGCATGTGGCGCAGTGGTGGGAGGCGCCCTGCAATGCACATGGGATCGATCTCAGCACCCACGCTCGTCAAGCTCTCCATCCCACCTGGGTCTGCAAATTGATACCAGACCTGTCTAGACAGAGGATAGCAACACTGACTCGATACATCGGTAGGCCACCGCAAGTCACTGTAAAGGCTAGATATGCATTCAGTTGAAGTTGATTAATGAAGTTGATTACATGGCGCATCCCTCAGGAATTTATCAAGGCCGAGAGTTCTATCTTTTATCCTTTATGCCAAATGTTGGTAACAGATGGAGTTTCATTTAACATGGAAGAGTCAGACGAACGAGTATGCGAAGTGGTGTGAGATGTTGAGAGTTTACGAGATCAAGACAAGCCTGGTGGGCAATAAGCCAAGAATTCACAACCTTCCTTCACATTCGTCCAAGAAACAGTGTAGTCGCTGTTAAATACTATGAAGTAACGAAAGAATTTTGGTTTTCTCGATGGAAGTCTTCCAGGAAATGGCTGGTTCTCATCGAGTTACTGTAAGGATTTCCATATCCATTGGGTGGTATAATAAGCGAAGAGCACAAAGTGTTTCGCGCCGATCAATCCCTATGTGCTACCCCAAGCACTCGACTCCATCAAATGTCGTTGGAGGTGAATGAATGCATACATGACTTACAAAATGACGTGCAGCAGCTTACCGATGTACCAACTCAGTTCTGCTATCCTTTAAGAGTAGTCTGATACCAATTTGCCAACTTCGATTGGGAGGAAGGTTTGGTGAGTCCGGGTGCGGGATCTAACCGAAGACCACGTGTGTTTTGCAGGCCATCTCTAACCACTGCGCTATACTCGCCCAGACTAGTAAACGATCACCGTCACTCCGCTGATGGTCCAGTGACTTGAGCGGACGCCATTCAACCTTTCTTTCCATGCTTTCGAGTGCAAGAGTAGCCCAGTGGGCCTTGCTCGCTCTAGGGAGTCATTGTACGTCATATCCTTCTTCTAGGGCCTTGTGAAGGGCTCTGACCATCAAATCGGTGGCTTTCCTGGTGTGCGTTTGACATCCGGAACAATCCAGTCATCAACGGGTTTTGTCCGTCGGTTGTCGTTCAAACGCACTACGTGTCCGGCTCTTATCCTCGACAATTTGGTATACGGAGCGGCGGCCTTGATTTTTGATCGTTGACTAGTAGAGTAGAGAGTATTAGAGTACGTAAAGAAATGAAGCAAGCATCAGGCAAGAAGAACTCTTTTTGTCTTTTCAACGTCACATATATGGGAACAGCATATCTCCACCAATCCATAGTGAGTTAAGTAACGAATAACAAGATTAATTGCAACCTTTCACACCTCAAAAAGTCCGAAACGAAAACGCAAGAAGACAATGACGATGAGGAAAAATTGACGGCGAACGCACGATCGAACTCTAGCACGAAATTCCGAACCCACCCTAGGGACACCACTCCTTCCCCTACATAGAGTGATTTTTTAGAGATTTCTGTATCCTCCCGCACGTTGATTTTGATAAACATGAGTCATTTTCCCATTACCAGAAACGTCGATGATTGTGTCGCGTTGTCAGCACAGCCTGAGCAGAACAATAAATCCGGAAGAGATCTTAGTAGACTGCTGATGCAGATGACGACTGCTTAACGAACGAGTAGCTAGCCAATTTCGGTCGTCCCGATCGATCTGGCCGTTCCCAAACGGGGCCCTCGTCAAACACGGTCGTTCGCCGCTGTTTACCATGGCCTAACCGGCCGGCCGACCCGCCGTTCCGTCCTAATCTGCCTCTTCGTTCTCTTCTGGAGTGTCTGCCCAAAAGCTGATCTCTACCTAGTATTGGCAGCCGTATCTGAGAAAAAAAGCCATTCGTAATCCGATGTCGTAGTTTCTCTACAAACATGTCACCTTTCCTCTAGTATGGAATTCTTTTTCTCTACACTGACAATATGAGCCTGCGATTTGCATGCAGATAATCCCAAGCACACTTTGTTGAAGAGCGTTATGAGTCGAAGGCGCCCACACTCACCTGAGCAGGAGAGATCCACGCGACGAGGCCCGTCATAAGGCAGCGATCGTCGGCGCTCCCACATCCAAGTACGGCCACTGAACCCATCGCCTCTTCCCACTTCCACGGCTTGCATCTGAATCGTTGTCATGAAGAACTTTTTCCTCGTATGTTCGTTTTTATGTCGTCTAAGAATGCTTTAGGTGAAACAGGCAAATTTTGTCGTGTACCTGAGGAAACTGCAGTTTTGCTGAACGTCTTCGTTGATTGCTTTTCTTTTGATCCCCCTGCTTGAGGCTATAACTCACAACGATACCGCATTTTCATCGCTTTCTGACTTTTGGCGATTATTAACAATCTAGTGACGGTTGATTATTCATTGGAATTCATACACAGCAAGAAAACTACGCATGGAATACAGTTCATATTCCAATTGCCTCCACTGACTTTCTGTCATGCAGATGATTAGCGAAATGGCGATAAACCCACAACGAAACGAAATCATCCACTGCATCCACTCCACTTGAGTAGCCAGCCATAGTCAACCAGTCAGAGGTCTTTGCTGTTTCTGGGCGGTTGCGCTCGGATGACCTCTTCGGTTCGAACCCCGCTCCCGGCCCGACGCGTCCGTTCCGCGCTATCGATCGTAGGCTCGTCCGCACCACAGCGGCGTGCTTTATCTACATGGACCATTCTGGAGCAGAATGCGTCTGGATGGCTGCCAGAGGTGTTCTGTGGCACGTCGAGTGCGGCCTCGTTCCTTTGTATCGCCCCTGTTTCTTGTTATCAGACTTCGTAGCTGTCGCTCAAACACGAACGTTGTCTTGCTTTGCGTGAATCACATAAAGTGGCCATGACCCAAGCAGTTCCGTTCGTTTTGTTCCCGGATTATCCTCTTCTATTATAGTCTACTTGATAAAGCCAAGTATTCGGGTGTTCGAATTTTTAGTGTATATGCCAAGGATCTGAATGTATCAATCACAAAACTATGATTCTATAACTTGACTTGGGCACAGTACTCGCTCATGTATTACTCTGTGCGGCTGCTCTCCACAAGTTGATTGGAGTACCTACAAAGAATGAAACAGCTCTGATGAAGACGAAACCGCCTAAACGTCAGCTATTGTGCGCTAACAAATTCTGTAATATCTGCCTCGTGTTATGCTTGTCGAAGAAAAACAGTGAACCACGAAGCTTTCACAGAACTAAAATTTGCTCTCGGCAATTTGTGGCTGAACGTTCAAATGTCCCATTAAGCTTCTGCCTTTAATGCAAACTAGAGTGCTGTCAATAGTGGTTATGCTTCGACGTAGTTCTCTTCAGAGACCGCCGTCGGCTGCAGTCAGTCGCAGTGGGTTTGCGAACCCTTCTGCAACAACCACATCCAGTCCTAGTGGTATCTTGGCACTTGCACGAGCTACCTACTCACCACGTCCCTCCATTGTTGTGCTCGTTAAAAAAAACTTTTGGGTGTACAGATGTGTAGTACTTGGTTCACAATTGACTCATTGCAAACTCGCATAGTTTTCGGCGAAAGTTGTTGGTACCTTTCACTGTCGTATCTGAATAATTAGGAATATTTGTTGTCCCAGTGTAGGAAGGGTGTAGTGCAGTGGTTAGGGAAGCCCTGCAGTGCACACCTCATCGATTTCTGGTTCGATGGCAGCAATGACGTAATAAATCGGTAGGTCATCGCAAGTTAATGTATTGGACAGATAACCATTCACTCCTTCTAAAGATTTATATCCCTTGGCTACCTTAAAGAGTCGTGTAGCACAACGTTATAGAGCCGTACACGCAGATGATTTCGCGCTATATCACAGCTGCTAGCCGAACTTTAATAGATGAAGATATCGACTTGTTCACACGGACTACTTCCATATCGAACCCTATACACACGTGATATGGCATTATTGCGCAGAATCTTGCTGTCAAGACTTCACAATTTAGGTTTTTGTGTACATTAGGAAAAATTTTAAAGATGTATAGGGTTCTTTCGTTGGAGGTTTCCCTGACGAAGATCGTTCCGCTCGTTCTCATACTGCACCTGAAAACAGCATGATTTTCATCAACGTGCAACACACTGGCGTGCATCGATTTCAATACATGCGACGTCAGTTTTCAACTTCAAAGCTGCAGATCTCACAACACATTTGAAATTTTTCGTTGAAATGAGAATCGTTGGAATACACAGAGCTTTACCAATTAGATAAAGTTCCCTTGTTCCAGCGAGATGAAGTTCTGGTTTTCTTGAACCCATGTGATATATTTTTCGACCTCTTTTTGCAAGGAACTTAACTCGCTCGGTTACGAAAGCAGTGGGGTTTCATCCAGCAGTGCGGTAGTTTGCTAGGTCGTCGGTATGTTCGTCTGCTACGTTGGCGTTGCGGATTGAGGAGATTAAATTTCCGTCTTCAGTTTGCTTAAAACTTCAATTCTAGATGAACTTAAAATTGAAGGGACATTTTGTAAAAATTGTCTGTTTTCCTTACAACGAGAGAGCAAAGTCTGTTGAATCAGCTTGTGATGTTCTCGGATGCTCATCTACTCCAGTGAGAGAGAAATTTTTTCAGTCGTCATTCGTCAGTTGTCAAAAAATGAACAACGGTCGTTATGTGTTAAGTAGTCCCATAGTGTGAAAACGAAGTCATAAAGGCTTCGCTTGGACCTTCAGTAATCGATTACGATGCTAAATGTAACAGCAGGACCTCCTGAGAATGGGAACAAATCTTGAATCCTGGTTGATGAACTCCAAAATGCCCTCATATCTGTTAATAGTCCCACCAATTTCGCAGTTATGTCGGTCATAAATACCTGCTGCTTATGTTGTCACCTATCACCTGTCTGCTGTAATTCCGTTCATCATCGAGTTACTCGAAAAGATAGAGGAAATGAATAGGAAAAATCAAGGGAAACGGTAAGATAAATTTTTCGGCTGATTTTCATGACCTTCGTTAGGAGTCCACGCATTGGCTTATGAGTTTCTACCGATACATGCATCAGTCTTTCCATCCTTAACAGAAGTCGGAGACGCAGTACTTCATTATGAAACGAGTGACAAAGTGTTATGTAAAAAAGCCCATCGATCTTCCTGCTCCATCCGGAGAATTTTCAGTGAGTTTCTCATTGGGTGTGTAAACTCATTACTATGTTACGTTATATCTCTTATCCGCTCTTGCTCTTTCGTTTTGTTTTCATACTCCTTATTTTAGGCATATTTATCGTAATGGCTAAATATGCCCTAAAAACAGCTGGTCAGGGTTTAGATCCTGTCCCCTGGTCTAAATAAGTAACCTATTTCTCCAAGGTCGATAGGTTGGTAAAAGTTGTTAGAGGAAATGAAAACCAGATTTGGTACATCGGCCGGCCACCTCATATCATTGTGTGGACCAAATATGCACTCATTTAGCTCCATGGTGCTTAACTGAAGGTGTGGCGCATCGCCAAGGGATTCATAAATCCTAACACCTTATCCTTTATCGTTTGTTCTTTCATATTTAGTTTGAATCTTGGTCACACTGAGAAATCCTGTTCACCTTTATCCAGGAGTTCATGATTAAATTCACTTCAGTCAGAGAGCTAACTACCATTCCTACTGTTTTCCTCATGAGAGCATCGTCCTCAGTGAGTTTTCTGAGACTATCAAAAATTATTTGTTAACATATCGCCTTTCTTTTTGATTTATTGAGCCCTACGGCGGTTCCTTCTCAGCTTCGTTTTTCATTGTTATGACCGTTGCATGACTTGAGAAATTCGGTTTCCAGTACGTTGGTCACTGTGACACGTTTCACTTCATCTGTTATCTTAGTAGAGCAACGTCTTATGTTTGTAACGGTATAATGTTGATTGAGTGCCATTTTTGATCGCGCGCTGACAGGCTTATCATGCTTTTTCCAGGTCAACTAAGTGTCCTGCATTTCTCCGAACTCAGTGGATTTGTAATGAACTATCTATGGCGGTAAAACTGTGACCTGTTCCTGTCTGACAGCACTGGTTATTATACCATCCTCATCCACATTCCCTTCTTCACTGAGTGAATCTATAGATGAGTAGTAAATTTGTGAGTTCATCATTATAGGGGTTGATCAACACTGCTAGCATTTTTAACCTTTTTATTTACTGCCTACTATAATTTTCCACGGCAAGATGTCATATGAAATACAACCGTAATGATGCTGAGATATTTGCAAAACTCCGGACAGCAGGTGTCTGCGGTGAGAAACGAAAGCGCTGTTATCCTTTCCGGTAGCTAACGCCCTCACCACTACACCGTACGGGTCCTTCGTTTCGCTCGTCTCTCAGCTAGTTTTCCATCGATCTCTACCATCAACAATCACCCGTCAGCGGGATTGATGAATGACTACTAACATTATCCTTTGTCTTAAAAAATATTAATCATCTTGCTGGCCTTCAGGAGTCTGACTCAATTTTACTTTCTTAAATTTACAGATGCGTCCTGCCGCAAACCGATGAACCATAAGAGTAGCAGATCGCCTTCAGCAGTTCTCGAGCAAAGCAGCCCAGCCAGTGCCCATGGATATGAGCATGTAAAGCCCACTAGTAGTTTCGGAGGGTGAGCAACACATATTTCACCCTCTATTAGAATTCTAGGTAGACTTTCTGACCCTAGCTCGTAAAAGTAAAAATCTGGAAGGATATCTGTTCTTTGCATCCTTACAGTTTCTTGGCTCTCATATACATAATTCATAATCTTTCGCATTCTCCACGTGAGAGCTGTATGAAGCTGATTAGAGCGGGCATCTTGGCATGTTCACATTCATGGCGTTTTTGTAGGAATTTATAACGAATAGAGTACATTCAGACAACGGTGTTGTGTTATTATTTACTTTCATATTCTACCTGTTGGTCGGTCCAAACCAATCTATCAGGAAGATTCATACTTGTTCGTCTCCTGTTCTGCAGTAGTTCTTCTCACTGTGATTCAAAAATTCGACTAATAATTCCTTTATAAATTTAAGGCGTTTGCTTATTTAAAAGACACTTTGTTTTCTTCCTTACTCTCATCGTTTCCCAAAATACGAGCCTTTTGATAAATTTTGGAAATCGGCATCTCATTTTTCAGCCATCCATCGATGTCACCTTCACTTTGATATGTAGCTGGTTGGCAGCGAGTTC